GCTTCTCTGCTACTTGGGCTGCTTCCAGGTTCTTCTGCGAGTTGGGCTTCAACTGTTAAATGGGCCTGATTGCGAACTTGCTCCGACTTCGGGCCCGGTTTCTTACTCAATGCGGGCCGAATCAGTCAATACCCAAAACAGTAAAGTTGTGGGCCTTTCTTTCTTCTTTCTAATGCTTCTTGAATTGCCCAATTCGGCATCTGGAATTGTGAGTTAGGCCCCGATCACTAACTGTCGCTGAAACTGTGCAAAATCACCCGAATTGGTCTGTTTCCTTCCAATTGCCTTCTTTATTGCCCTGAATCGAAATACAAGAGTAATGAGTGCATTTAAGTGCTAAAGTAGTGTAAAAGGATGAAATTAAGGGGACAAAATAAGGTTCTTCTAAGTCTCATCAATAAACAACCATATTAGGGGGTATTTCTGTATTTTACTTATGGGGGGTTGAAAAAATGATCTAGAGTAAAGTTATAAGTAACTTTATAATGACCAAAATACCCCTCCCAACAACTAAATAACAGATAGTTTTTTCGGTATTTTGGGCAATTGAATTATGTTCAATTCCTATAAATAGCCGTATCCTCCGCCATTCTCATCACATCAATTCAACAATTCTCTTAATTCTCTCTCTCTCTCATACTCATACATTCTCAATTATTTGCAATCTGAGAAATTCTGATTAGTTGATTGTTTGATTTTGCATTATCCAATTCTCAAGTCTCAACTTTATCGAAGTTTTGACTTTCAACAAGAAGAAGGCTTGCTCAACCAGCTCAAGTATCTCAATTCGGGAGGCTTGAACGTTGAAAGGCTTCAGCCGTTGAAATTAAGTTGGAATTTTGAACCGGCAATCCGGGTAAGTCGAATTAGATTAATTTTTATCCTTTTAGAATTAAAAAAAATGGTTGGTCTTGCTCAAAACTGATTCCCCAACATGTTCACCATGGATGACATTCAATCAATCGCACCACGATAGTATTAGTATTAACACTAATGCCGATGTGTTTGATGAAGATGGAAGTGGAACTTTCACCACCGGTAGTAGTGATACTAGGGAAAAAAGGAGGGCTTCTAAGCTGAGTAGCCCATTTTGGAAAGTTTTCAAAGTAGAGGATATTGAGGGGAAGGGGAAAAGGGTCATTTGCTAAAAATGTAGGAAAGACTTTAGTTATTGTAGCAAGGGTGGTATGGGTCATTTGAGCAAACATCTGCTCACGCATGAGCAAGAGGAAGATGAAGGGAGAGAAATAACTCAAACACAGATTGGGAGGGGGACTAGTTTTGGTACTTTTAGATATTCATAAGAAAAAATGAGACAAGAACTTGCTATGTATATTGTACATGCAAAACAACCATTTATGTTAGCTAAAGATCCAAAGATAGAAAAATAGTTGCGTAGTTCTGTAAACCCACAATATAAAAAGTTTCTAGGAATGCTATAGGAACTGATGCTTTAAAAATTTTTTATTCATATAAACAAAATTTAATTTCATTGTTAGCAAATTTTAATTCTAAAGTTGCAATTACTTTTGATGTTAGGACATCCAAATTTAATATTAGTTATATTTGTGTTATCGGCCATTTCATTGATGAAAAGTGGCTTTTGAATAAAAGAAATTTAAGTTTTACTAGGCTTGAATGGCCACATAGAGGCCCAACTATTGCCGCAAGTATTTTAAATACTTTGCACTTATGGATCAATTAGTTTTGATAATGCTAGCAATAATGATTCTACAATAAATATTTTTAAATCTCAATTAAAACCATGCTTAAATGGTAAATTATTTCATATTAGATGTACATGTCACATCTTAAATTTATGTATTCAAGGTGCCTTGAATATTATTTCAAATCATATTTCAAAAATTAGAAATTGTATTATATATATAAAAACTTCATGGGTAAGAAAACAAGAATTTAAATATTTATGCCAAATTATGGTTTAAAATATAAACATTTTATATTAGATGTAAAGCATAGGTGGAATTCTACCTATGTTATGTTAAGTTGTATATCTCATAAACAAATTCTTTCTGATTTTTATAATTCAAAAATGCCTAATGATATGATATTTGAGGAAGATTGGGAAATGACAATCTGTATAAGAGATT